TTATTACAAATAAAACGTCTACGCGTTGAGAGAGGGGAGCGAAGGTGTGAACGCGATGAAAGCAGGTAAGAATAACGCGTTGAGGTCGATATCATTGAGAGAAACACAATCATCAGACACGTCTCGTGTACTGTAAAACGTGATCAATCAAGAACGGTGGACAGAGGCGATAGGACTCACGTGACCAATCAAGGACAGATGTGATAGGACTCGGGCACTACTTGTGACTTCTCTTTATACATTACTTGCTCAGTGCCTGTAATTATCTACACAAAACCTCGTGTTTGCTATAACGAACACTCGGATTCAACGAGATTTTAGGTCAGGCCCGGCGACCTCGTTAAATCCGAGTTCCACTGTATAAACTGACAGACTCTGGGATGGATCCTGAAGAGAGAGGGGAGGGGTGGTGAGAGCAGAGATGGACACGTTCCGACTGTAGTGACCCCTACACTGTGGACAAGGTGTGACAAGGTGTATTGGCGTCGGAGGCCTAGTGGTTAGGCTACCGGGCTCGTAATCGTGAGATTGCGGGTTCAGGGGTTCGAGCCTCAGCTCCGTCCGACGTTGCGTCCTTGGGAAAGGCACTTTACATGAATTTTCCTCGCTTCGCCCAGGTGGGAATGGGTACCTGGCGAGCCTCGGTACCTGGCCATAGACAGCGAAAGATCTAGTCAGTATGTTAGTGTTTTAGCGCCTATAAATGTCTGCTTGCACTGTATGCTTCCCAGGAAGTTGAGGTTGTTTGAGAATGCTCTCTGGTCTGCTGGGGTAATACATGTAGTATAGATTGTGAAGCGCATAGAGCTTGCTGTTGAGCGGGGATTTGCGCTATGCAAATGCTATCTGTTGCTATTATTACTTGCCCCGCCTCGCTCACCCAGGCCGCCCGGGTTCGATTCCCGGTGTGGGAACATTTTAGTGTGGCGTCGGTAGCCCTGTGGTTAAACTACCGGACTCGTCATTGTGAGATTGCAGGTTCGTGGGTTCGAGCCTCAGCTCGGTCCGATGTTGTGTCCTCGGGAAAGGCACTTTACACGAACTTCCCACTTGGCTCGGTCCTTTCGGAGACGGACGTTAAACTAGGAGGCCCCGCCTCTTAAATAACATAACAGTGTTGATAGAGGCGTTAAACCCACAGATCTACCATTTCTCCATTTATTTTCCTCCTCGCTCGAACAATCGCGCTAGTTTTAAAGAATTGAAAGTGAATTCTTTTCTAGCGTTGAAGTCGCCTGATCAGGAAGTGCACAGTGCCGTGTTGTGTATAGTGGCCTACCCGGTACATGCTCGCGAACAATGGATGTTGACACACTGATAACTGCCGGTTTTAACCCTGTCCGTACGTCGT